GTGTTATGGAGAGAAAAAAGGGAGGTGGGGCTTGAGAGAAAGGAACTGGATAGTAGACAGGAGCATGGCGGAAGCATGGGAATATAGGGAGGCATTTATTGGAAAAGGAAGGCAAATAAAAGTAAGGGATGTGGGGGAGAGAAGAAAGATAAACATGGGAGTTTTTGGCAGGGAATAATTTGGGGTACTGGGTGGGGAGAACACAGGATTTGAGGGGGGCAGGGCACAGCACTGGCTGTAGTATAGGGCTCATGGAAGGAAATGGAAGAGTTAGAAAAAAGGAGGAACTGGAGGGAGGGAAACCAGAATGAAGAGTTTGGTGGCAGTGTGTGAGGCCGGGCGGGAAGAGGGACCACTGGAAATCCATGCAGAGGATGGAGGCAGCCGTCTTGGGGGAGAGCTAGGGATTCACGGCGTTACTGGAGAGACCAGAAGGAACTTCTTCCTGGGGGTTGTCTCTTGCCCCCTCTTGAAATGACACCATTGCTTTCCGCTCCCCCTCGAAACCAAAGGCTGCCATCCACCACCACAAGGGCTAATGCTTCCCTCCTGCCCACCCCCGTCAACCCATTGCCTTTTGCCTGGCACCAGTCCCTCCTGGCAGGGGAGGAGGAGGGGGCAACCGGGCTGGGAGCCCCAGGCAGGGCTTGGCCCCCCGCCTCCAGCAGCAGCAGCAGCAGCAGCACCCCGCACCAGCAGACACAAAGAGGCAGAGTGCGTGGAGCCAGAGCCGCGGCGGCGGCCGGAGCCTGGGCGGAGGAGAGGGCTGGAGCCCTGGGGGGGCTCTTACCTGCCTCGAGGTTGAAGGAGATCCTGGCCTCGGCTAGGTACGGGGTGTCACTCTTGGACCTGACTCTCCTGATGGGTCTCCGGTCTATCTCCTCCTCGGAAGATGCCGCCATTAATGTGGGGACAGTGAGCAGGGTCGCCCGGCGAGCTGAGGAGGGAGAAAGGAGGCAGAGGAGAGGGGTGGGAGAGAGGAGGAGGAGGAGGGGAGAGGAAGAGGCGCAGAGGAGGGGGAGGGGGGGAAGCAGAGGAAGGGGAAAGAGAGGGAAAGGGAGAAAGAAACAGAGGGAGGGAGGGAGAGGGAGAGGAGAAGACGGAGAGAAAACCCGATCAGGATCTCTGGACCGGAGCACCGCTGCCCCGCGCCCCCCTGCAGCTGCGACCGCCCCGGCGCGAGGGACCGGGTCCCGCCGCCGCTCCCCGGCCCCGCTCGCACCTGCGGGCACCTCGGAGCCCGCACCGGCCTCCAGGCTGCTGGGGAAAGGTTGCTGCACCGAGACAGGACTGCCTCAGACCGGCTGGAAACACCCCGCCGGGGGCACGGGGCTGAGTCGGGCAGAACGAGCCCCAGCCCTACTTAGGGGCCTGGGCTGCCTTAGGCAAGTTAGGCCTGGGATTGAGGTGCCAAAGTCTGGTCCTCAACATTGTTGGCCTGTCTCTATAAAAAACAAATGCCCCTAAGTGTATTTTAGAGAAGAAAAAGGGACTGTCAGTTACACCACAAATTGAGGACAAGGACATGTGGGTGTCATTGTCACCTTTACTGTAGGTAACCCGGGTGACCTTAAATCGAGATTTGTGATTCGATTCTTAAGGCGTGAAAAGAGAAAAATACCTCCGCCCTTCTCCCCTTTGGCTTAACTACTGAAATAGTAAACTCCTCATGGCACTGCTTGGCTCTTGTCTAGTGTCCACTGCCCAGCGCATGTTGAGTCTCCAACCTCAGGTGGGATGGGATCGCTTTGCTGGTGTAATGCAAGCAATGTTAAACCCTGATTTCACGTAGTACATATTATGTTCTAGCATAATTCGTGGAAGAGACAGTGAGAGACACAAAAGTTAAGGGGATGCCATAAAGTTAAAGAAGGTATACATGTGATGATTATAAAGTTAAGGGGATACAACAAATTTAAAGAAGGTATACACGTGATTATTATAAAGTTAAGGGAATGCCACAAAGTTAAAGAAAGTATGCACACTATTATTATAAAATGCATACCAGTTATTCAAGTTCAACTGATTTCATTTCTCTTTTCAGATAAATTTGTTGATCCACTTATAGGCAACAAATTGTTCAGTTTTTCTGATTTGTTGGTTTTATCGTTGTCAACCACATTAGATGTCAGGGTTGAAGTACCTGTATGCAGCCCTAACAACTTCAGCAGGGGTACATTATTTTAGAACGGTTCCGTTATTCACTTGTGCAAACTCAAATCATTCTTGTCGGTTATATTTCATGCCAACTGACGTTACGAATCTGCTGAGGTCAGAGCTTTCTTTAGTGCTTACAAAAGTATTAGATCAGGCTGTGATCTCATCAAATATCGCTTGCTAAATAGGAGCAATCTTGGGTAGTACTTGAACCAGAGCCCTCAGAAGAAAACCATGCTGACACAGTTTGCAATGCTGGTGATTAAGTGGCACTATTATCCCTGCTGAATGTCTACTGAATCACTGTCCCATTAGTAGTGGACAATGCAGGACCCCCTTGTGCATATTCATGCATTATAAATTGGTCTTTAATTATATGATCATATATTCTTTTACTATAGGATCCCTACTTCATTCAATGTATAGGACAGGTCAGGGTTGTGTAGGAAGGAGGCTTTTGTCTGTAGATCTCCTGCTTCAGATGTAGCAAAAATTGAAAAGTATGTCCATGTTACATGAAGAGAAGAAATGGACTTATGATTCAAGACAGTTGAACAATGCCTGGAGAATCAGAGTCTACCCCTGCTTCTGCTACAGAAGTCCAATGTAATTCTATTCCTGTTGTTTAAATCATATTTTTCACAGTGGTCTCTAACTGTGGTACCTGACCTCAGTAGGCGAGTTCTGATTTGTAGAAATCCTAAGCATTCACATTTGCAAGCAAAGTTAATAGTAGCTGTGCTTTCATCTTATAAGATGCTATGTGCTGAAAAAATCTTGCAAAAATAAGATCCTATATTTCTGTCACAGTTTGAGAAATTCAAAATGAAGGGATATTTGGTATATTTATATCTCTGTCTCAGTTCCCCATCAGTGAAATGGACATAATAATACCCTTTTATTCAGTGGGGCTGTTCTGCAAATACATTCATTAATGTTTGTGAAGCACTTATATGCTATAGTGAAGTGTCACAGACAATCCCATGAGGAAATTAATAATTTTTTCTTCAGAACTGAGTTTAAACAATGTTCAGTATACAAGGCCCGAGGCCATGTGCTGAACAAGGGAAAAACAAAATATTGAATAGCACTTGTTAAATGAGCACCATTCATCCTGAGAACTGAATGAGGCAGTGTTCCTGTAGAAAGACAGTAGATGGTCATGTAGTTAGACTGTATTATGATGCATGTGTAAAAGGCAACAAATGAATGGTGCACATGCAACTTTAATTCTGGCATTGCTTAACTTTTAAATGCTTGACTGTACAACCCTAATCATGTTGTGTTGCCACAGGCTTTTTCATTGTTGTTGTGTGTGTAGAATATATTTTCATTCACATTTCTAAATTACTCAATTATTATAATCATAGGTGTTTATCCAGTGCTCTGGATACCCATCCCCTCACTTAAAACTCATAGAGGATTCCCATAAGTGTGTCCACCTCCACCCACTCCTTCCCTAACAGCTTAGGGAACAGAGCACATGCTAAGAAATTTAAAAAGGCTCTGGCAGACTGTCAAAGGAATGAGCTCTGCTCACAGAATGCCCAACCAGTAGATTGCTCTTCTGAAGGGATGTCCACCTTGAGAAGTCTGTACTTCTTAGGGGACCTAGAGTGAAGCACACATCTTGTCTTGTTTAGTTAGATTCTAAATACTATGATATCTCATGCCATGTGTTTGGATAGCATGTAACACAATCAGGCCCTGAACTTAGAGCCTTTATGCATCACCAAATATATTCCATGGGAAGATGGAGAGTCTGATTGAGAGAAATTTTAGGCATTTTTTTGCAGTCCTGTAGCCAAGATTCTTTCCTTAAATTACTAGTGTTCCATTTTTATTTAACACCCCTTATCGTTCCACAGATTTATTATGGTCTAAGTATAACATGTAAATCCACTCTTACAGACCATTTAGAAATTGTATTTAATAGGGCTTAGAGCTATCTCTCAGGAAACAAAATATTAAAGAAAGTCTCAGGTTAGACGTTGCAGGGATCTGAGCCTGAAACCTTGATTTCAGGGGAAATGGAGGACACTCAACATGTTGTAGAATCTAGCTTTTTGTTAACTGACTGCCTGATGGTGCCATCCTTATGGAGCTGAAAATGAATGTTTGCTTCAGCTAACATACTGAGAGTTGGAGGGAAGTAGAAACTCATGTCCAAATTTGAGTTTGTGTTTATTGTAAACAAAGAATAGTTTATTTTCTACTGAGTTGTTTGGAATTCAATTTTTATCTTGTTGGTCTAAATAGCGGTCTCTGGCATGTGTTCATTTTGACTTCTGCTGCGTGAATACTGCAAAAATGTTCCCTAAAATATCATTCAAATATTTAAATGATTTGCTTCCACCATGTTTGCAGCTTCTTTGATTACATTTTTGCAATTCAGTTTCCTGATAGGAATTTTCATGGAAACAATCAGTTTTAAGTCATTATTGGAGACAACTCATAGAGAACAAATTTTCAGTTAAGAAATTTTGCTCTACAAGCTTAAGACATGCTCTCATTCAGTCGATGGATTACAAAAATATATTGGACTTCCTTCTGCTACCCATAATAATATTGAATATTTACTTATTTCATAAATGTACCTGCACTTACTCCATTACCCACTGAAACTGATAGAACTACTTATAGATTAAAGGACCAATGTGATCAGTGTATCCAAACAAAGCTAACCAACTGATACATGAACTTCCAAAATTTCCCAAAAGTTCATGCATTCAAAGACAATTTTAAAAAGATGGCTTGTCAAGAAAATCAGAAAACAGTAGGAAAAGTTCAGACTTTGGATAAAGGAGTGACATCCCTATGCATCCCTACAGGTCTCCTGAATAGAGATTTTTGTGGGGATTTTGGAAGATTCATACATCAGTGGCTAGCTTTGTTTGGACATAAATATACAGCCTTGCCATAAAGAGGCACATATTCTATTATAAGTGCCTCTTTATGGCAGGGCTGTATTTGTCCCCAAGTCTAAACTCCATGCACTCATTTTAACAGGCTGCCGCAACACGCAGGGTGCAACAACACAATGAGATTTAATGCACGATAGCCTATTTTACTGTGCAATAGAGTGTCACAGTAAAAACTGTACTAATACACTAATGCACAGTAAAATTAAGCTATTGTACATTATGCATCATTAAAAAAATATGCGCTTTCGCTACTGCGCATTAGGGCAGCAAAAGTAGCATTAATGAACATGTAGACACATCCTTAGTGTTTTCACAAAATACATTTCTTTTCTAAGGAAATAACAATAATATTCATTCCTTCATTTTTTTGATTCCGTTTGACAAGGTATATAGCAAAATTCACAGATTCATTGTAATCTCACAGGCTACGCCATGAGCACTTCTGTTATGGTCTCAAACTTGTGACCTCTAGGATGTCAGCCATGTACCTTAGTGCTCACACCACCCTTACTAAAAGGAAAAAGCAATGCCCATAGGAAAAAATTTTTTTTAAAAAGAATTGCATTTGTCTGAGTAAGTGTGTCTCTATGTTCAGGATATGTGTACTTATTAAATTACATAGAAGCCTTCATCCACAATCTCAAACCACTTTACATATAAAGATGTAGGGAGGAGCATATAAAAAACAATACTGCACATTCACAGGCACTTGAAAGATTACATTCAGTATGTTAAATTAGAGGTGGAACTGGTTGTTTTTTTCTCCCAAAAACTATTTGAATCCATTAAACAATGTCTTAAAATAACTATAGTTTTTTAAAAAAATGTTGCTGACATTGTAATTTGTCATTTTTTA